CGGGCGGGCGCCGTGAGGCCGCGGCGCGGCCCGGGCCGGGCGGGGACAGAGGGCACCGCCGCCCCGGCTGTGGCGACGGGCGGCCCGGCCCCGTTATCCCGAATGCCGGCGCTGCGGGGCGGCTCGCACCGCGTTAGTGCCTTAAAGGGCGGATCGTCCGCAGACCGTCGGGGCTGTGGCGGCTCCGGCCCGGTGGCCCGGGCTGTGCGAGCCCGGCAGGCTCGGTTTGCGCCCTGCGCCGGTGCGGTGGGCTCGCTGCTGCCGGGACACCCCGCCCGGGCCCGGGGCAATCCCGCTGTGGATCCCGGGAGCCCCGGCTGGCACGGCAGCCCCGCTGCGCGGCGGGGACGGGTGGGAAGGGGCGCTCCCAGCCTGGCTCTGCTCCTATCGGAGTCACCACTCCCACTCTGCTGGGCTGGTTTTCAGGCGTTACAGCTCCCGATAATTGGTTTTCCGCGGGTCGCTCCGGGCTGGCTCGGTGTGGGCCGGGCACGGAGGGGCCGTGCGGCCGGCGGTGCCGGGACCGTGCCCCGAGCTCGGCCCAAGGCCGGGGTGAGCTCGGGCCAGGGCTGCTTCTGGTTCTCCTCTCTCCGCCGTGCCTTCCACCCTGCTTCCCATGGCACTACACCACCCTGCCTCGCCTTTTACACACAGCAATTTATGCTTTTATCCTTCCTCTTCCTATCCCATCGTCTTCGTGTTTTTCCATGTAAATTTATGCAACAGCGATCTGTTGGATTTTCCTGTTTCCTTTCCACGCTACCTCTTTTTTCCCCCCCTGTTTTTTTGTGTGCAAAATCATGCTCTCAGCGAGACTGTGGGTTTTACACTTAATGTGCAAGTTGCCATTTCTCTCATTGTTTTTGTGGGATGGAACCGGCATTGCCTTCAAGCTGTCAAGCTGTGGAGAATCAGTCAGGGACTCATACCTCAGCTCACATTTAACACCGTGTTAAAAGTACAAAGCAGAGCAAAGCTAAGAATAGAAAGGATAATTATTATTATAAATAGCTTGCTGCAAGAGCAGGGATGGTTTTGGTGCCTCGTGCTTGTCTTATTTGAAATGTGCAACATTTTGCTCTTTGTGTTTTTTGCAGTGATAAGCCCTGGAAACACGGGGCAGTTACTCAGTTGCGTTCAGGATTGAACCTGTTTTCCCCTCTTTGATACAAGTGAAGTTCTTGTTGGATATTGAAACATTTTAAGGAAAGAGTGAGAAAAGCATTAGGGGTTGTTGTCTCTTGCCCTGTTGCTCTGGGGTTCGGGGATGTATCCTGGGGTGAGAGTGGATTGTCTCTCCTCACCGAAGGGCTGCTGGTTTATCTGGAGCAGAGGGCTCTGATTTCCCAGGCCCAGGATCTGGTGTTGGTGTTTGAGCCCTCAGACACGACATTTCTGTCATGGAATTGTGAGTGGGGATGGATAAATGTGGCTTTATCCTGCCACGCTGCCTGGTGGGTGCCCATCCACGTCCACAGTTTTATCCAATTCACACAGAAGGGTAGTTGTTAAGATGAGTTTTGAAAGAAATAAATGTGACAGTGCTGCTATTGTTATCTGAATTCTCAGATACCTCAGTCTGTGACACTGAAGGGAGAGCTTCAGCAGCTGCCAGACTGGAATTATCAGCACAGTGTTTTCAGCATGATGTTCAGGTTTGTGACCTTACAAAATCCCATGGTCTGATGGGCTTATGCTGCTGGACAGGTAAAGGAAAGGAGCCTCAAAGTCCAGTGCCTTTGAACAGTGAATACTGTTTAGATGTGCTGGGGTTTGTTTGTAGTAGTGTTAGTGAAAAATAGGGTTTGTCTTGCTTTTGTGTTAGGCACTTGCAGTTTAAACACCTGGTTTAAACCCTGAGTTGGGTGTCCTTTGGTCCAAGTGCACCAAACCAGTTCAATGGCATCTGAAACAGTTCAGGAAACAGGTTTTTCAAGGTAGCCAGGCTCCATAGACAGTTCTGTAAATCAGTAAACCTGTCATATGCCATGTCTGGCTTTAATGACAAAAAGGGATTCTAGAATTTAGCTCCTGGATTGTAGAATTCAGGTCTTGGTTTACTGGTGATTGCTGAAGATAAAAATGGGTTTAGGAAAGACTTGGGTTTCTAGTTCTGGGGTTCCCTGTCTGCCAGTGGGGACATTCCACCTCTGTTACACCTGGCTGTAGCTGGTGTCTGCCTTGCAGTGCAGCATGGAGCTGTGGCCCAGAGGGAGTGCTTGGAATTGCTGCTCTGGTTGTTTCCTCTCCTGCCCTTTTTAGCTGCAGAGGGAGTTGTGTGCGTGGGCAGCGAGAGAAGTGTGAGAAGTGTCCAGTGGACAAATGTGGATCCCCAGGGAGTGGATGTTTTTCTGGTTTGCTTTTTTCCCAGCCTGGAGGTGATGAGTTGAGTGTCAGCTCTCCCCTGTGCAGCTCCCAAACATAACAATGACAGTGATCTTGTGCTCCTCAGGTTGGGCAGAAAAAGGGATGTTTTGGGACTCACACCTCCCTGAACTGCCAGGCAGCAGCAGCAGGAGCTCCTCCAATGGGGCTGAGCAGCAATTCTGGATAAAGGATTCCTTGGAATTGCCAGGTGAATGTACAAGGTCTGTGGAAATGAGTTAACAGTATTAGGAAAAGGAATCTGGAAGTAAACCCAGCCTGAAGTTTTTTATGCTTTTGTAGAAAAGGATTACAAGAAGCAATTCCTTCATGTACCTCGAGAAGATAATTTACTTGGAAGGTGTGATTCATTTAATTTACCTGGGAACATGCCATGAAATTAAGGAACCTGAGCTCCAAAAAAGTTCACAGGGAAAATAAAGTTGTCAGAAAAAGAAAAAGTGACTGTCAGCTTTAGAAATCAATAACGTCCATTTGTTGAAAATGTTATTCTGTTAAAATTACCCTCTTTATCGGGAATTCTTTACATAGCTGGTGTTAAGAAGGCCTAGGATTTGTGCTTGAGTATTAAAAATCAGCTCTGTGAGAGAGCTGAGTGTCAGGAGCAGCTGAATGCCTGTTCTGGTGGCTCCCCAGGTAAGGTGTTTAAGGCAAACCTGCAAGAAAGGAAATGTTTTATATTCGAGATTATATTGTTCAAAGTATTTCACTTGAGAGAAAGGCACAGAGAACTTATTACTGAGATAATTCAGTGATTCAAGAGTTGTCTGATAAGATGATGTGGTTTGAATTGGTCTTTCCAGACAGGGGTGTTGTGTTTCCTGAGGCTGCCAGGTAGGAATTCCTGCAGTGTCCTTGCTGCTCTCCCCTTGCAGCCGTGAATTCACAACTACAGCTCTGCACGAGGAGGAAGTTCCCAGGGCTGGCTTTTTGTGTCATGTGGATTTCACCTCCAACAATGCCAGCTCAGGGCTCGTCAAAGCAGAGTGGTTAAATGTCATTATAGATCCTGGTGTTCTGGAGTGCTTCCTCTTGCTGGCTGGTTGTGCAGCGTTACAGAGGGCAGGTGTGACGTTGGTGCTGAGAGCATTGTGTGGAAGGGCGTCTAAATGTGCACTGAAACCAAAACTCCTTCCTTTTGTGTCTGCTGGGGACCTGAAACTCACGGTGGCTCTTTTGGGGAGCGTTCTGCTCAAAGTTTGTGCATTTTCAGCACCTGACATCCAGGCTGGTGGTGTACCCTGTGGGACCCTGATGGAACTCCTTGGGATTGCCTTGGAATTCCATCCAAACCAACATTTCCATCGAGTCCTTTCAAAGAACTGTCACTTTGATGGAGAAATTGTCATTTCTGAGAGGGTTTCTGACAAAGCTCTGTGCACTTGGTGTCTTTTCATGTCTTGGCTGTCAGTGATGTCTGTGTTGAGCCTTGGTTGTGGCAGGCAGAGCTGGGAGTGCAGCGGGAGCTTCCTGCAGGCACACAGAGGCTGTTGGAGTTGGAGCCTGGTGCTCACACCCAGCTTCCCCAGCTGTGATTTTGGTGTGAGATGATTCCCTTCTCCCCACACAGGCATCTTTGCTTACCTGAACTACCATGTTCCCCGGACGAGGCGGGAGATCCTGGAGACCCTCATCAAGGGGCTGCAGCGCCTGGAGTACCGGGGCTATGACTCTGCAGGTGCCTCCCTCTGAGCTCTTCTGGGAATTTGGCTTTTCTTGGAGGGGTTGGGAATGGTTTCTGCCACCTTCTGCTATTGAAGAAAGCTGTAACACAAACTGGATGTGCCTGTGGTCAGAGGTTTGGGTTAATTTCAGTGTAAAGATTTTTAAAAGCATTCTTGATCTTTGGTGGTTTTTTTTTCCTGAGGCTTTAAAAATACTGACAAGGTGACAAAGGGAAAACTTAGTTCTGATCTAAAGGGTTTCTTGCCTTTATGTGGCAGGCCAGCTTTTGGAGAAAGGGCTCAGGAAGAATCAAAAAGGCCAGAATTTGTTTCCATAAAATGCTGTAATAACTTCTGCACTTGACCCTCTTTCCACTGTGGGGTTTAGGTGTGGGACTGGACGGTGGAAATGACAAAGACTGGGAAGCCAATGCTTGCAAAATCCACATTATCAAGCAGACGGGGAAAGTGAAGGCTCTGGATGAAGAGGTTCACAGTATGTATCTCCCTGTCCTCCTTTCCCTCCAAATGCCCTCTCACCTCTGTGTGTTTTGAATATCACCTGTTTTACCCAAGCCCACGAATTTCCAAGTAACTTGTGTGTAAGGAGACAGAGTCCCGTGGTCCCTGAGGCCTGGTGAGACTCCCAGCCTGGCCTGGGGTGTGGACAACCCCTCAGGACTAAAACTTTGTGCTGCAGAGCAACAGGACATGGATCTGGACATCGAGTTTGACGTTCACCTGGGGATCGCCCACACGCGCTGGGCCACGCACGGGGAGCCCAACCCTGTCAACACCCACCCGCAGCGCTCCGACAAGAACAATGGTCAGTGCCTCCCTCAGCACCTGCGGCTCCCCAGCAGCTCCTGCAGCCTGGGGGAGAGCTTCTGCCCCCTCCATGTCCCGGCAGGGGTGGCTGGGCAGGCACTGGGGTCATTCAGGCCGGATGGAACAGCCGTGCTGCTGAGCCCGGTTGCGGTGAAGCCGCAGGGCTTGGGCTCAGGTTCCAGCCCGAGGGATGTTCCCCGCAGTGAGGGATCCCAGCAAGGGTTGGGGTGGGTTCCAGGGCTAGGATGGGTGTGTGGGCACAGAGAAAGGACGAGAAGACAGAAGGAAATGAGACTGAAGTGAGAATTTTTGTGGCAGCAGCAGCAGCGTGCAGTTCTTTGCTCCCAGCAGGAGCTGCCAAGCGCTCAGGTGCCTCCAGAGGCTCTGCAGGGTTTGGGTAGCCCTGGGACCACCCGGGTCACTGTTATCCCCTGCCATGCCAGGGGGGCAGAGCAGGGAATGGCACCAGGATGTGAAATGTGGGCCTGTCCCACAATCACATGAGTGGGCTCTGCTGCCAGGCTGGGGCTGGCATGGGGCTGAGCAGGGCATTTCCTCTGTCCCCAGAGTTCATCGTCATCCACAACGGCATCATCACCAACTACAAGGACCTGCAGAAATTCCTGGTGAGTGACCCCTGGGGGGTGAGACCCTCCCTCCTGTCCCACTCCCCTTTGCTCTCACACCCTCACACTCCTTTACTCACCGTCCTCCACTCCCCTCACTCTCCCACTCACTGCCCTCTCTTCCTCTCACAATTTAAAGGCAGCAAGGATGGAAGGAAAGTGTGAGGAGAAAAGGAAAAAAGAAAGGCAGGGAGGTAAAAGGAAGAGGAAAAGCAGAGCAAAGGATGGGAAAAAAAGAGGGAGAAAAGAGTGAGAACAACTGCAGTATGAAAAGGGAAAGGAAAGGAAAGGAAAGGAAAGGAAAGGAAAGGAAGGAGAAAGGTAGGAAAAAGGAAAGGAAGGTAGGAAAAAGGAAAGGAAAGGTAGGAGAAAGGAAAGGAAAGGTAGGAAAAAGGAAAGGCAAGAAAAAAGAAGGAAAAGGAAAGATGAAGGAGGAAGGCAGGAGCAAAGAAAAAGAAAAGCATGAGAAAAAGGGAAGAAAAAGTTAAAGGCAAGGTGAAAGAAAGGGAGTGGTAAAAACAAAGAAAGGAAAGGTGGGAAGGAAAGAAAAGTGAGGAGGAAGGGAAGGAGGGCAAAGCAAGGGGGAAGAGGAGGCAGAGTCACCCACACAGACTGTCCCTGCAGGAGAGCAAGGGCTACGACTTCGAGTCGGAGACGGACACGGAGAGCATCGTCAAGCTGGTCAAGTACATGTACGACAACCGCGACAGCGACGACATCAGCTTCTCCACGCTGGTGGAGAGAGTCATCCAGCAGCTGGTAATGGGCACAGTGCCACCCACACACCCAAATAACCCCTGCCCCCAGTGCTGCAGGATGCTCTGGGCATGGCTTTGTCTCTCCTGCTCATCTCAGGATGAATGAACGTTCGGTTTCCTTGTCAGTGTTCATCTGGGAAATGTCTCAGTTCCTGGGCACAGCAGCACCTGGAGACTGCCAGCCCCTGGCTGGGGTGGTGGGAGTGGGGAGGGAGCTGGCCTGGGAGAGTCTGTGCTGCTTCCAGTCCTTTCCAAAGCTCCAGCCGGGATTGCTGCTGACCCCTGCTGGGAGCTGCTCCGTGGAGCCTCTGCCTCCACTGCCTGGTTGTGTGCGGGAGCAGGATCCACCACAGTTCACCTCTCACCCCGCAGCACCTGCATCAGCTGAGTTTTCACTGGTTTACCTGCCAGGAGCTGTTGTAGCAACAGGCCAAGAACTTGTGTTGCTGGCAGGTTGTGGCACCTCACCTGAGAAAACACCCTGAGGTTTTGGTGCTTCTTTTAGCAGATCTTTGCCTCTGTAGGTCCCCTCACTGCACCCTGAGCTAAGGCAGAACTCACCTGGATAACCAAGGGAGTCCGAGTGTCTCTCTGGAGCTTCAGGAGACTCATTCAGTGGTTGACGAAGTGCTGCCAGGCTCAGGGGAGGGACATCCTTCCAGGATGGGGGGGCTGGGGTTACAGTTGGTTCTGGAAACATCTCTGAAACCTCTTTGGTGTCTCTTCTGCATCCACAGAAACACAGGAACAGTTTCTGTGCTGGGAACACTGAAACAGTGGCCAGGTCTCAGCTGAAGGGATGAACAGTTTGTTTCTCTTGTTGCAGGAAGGTGCTTTTGCCCTTGTGTTCAAGAGTGTTCATTACCCTGGGCAGGCAGTTGGTACCAGGTGAGTGTTGTCATGGGGAGGAACATTCCTGCACCCTGTCTGTCACTTGTTTTTGTGCCCCCACGTTAGAAGACAGAGTAGAGATCATTCTCATCACACTGCATATGCTGGGGAGAGGGTTTGTTGTTTTTAATTTCCTTTCTCTTGTTTTCCATCTGTCATAACAGAAAGTTCCCAGAAATATTTTGGAAATTTCTTACTGACCAGCTGTACCTGGTCTGGACCAGCTTCATTCTGGTATCCTCTGCTTCTGATTTGAAAGGAGATGATTTTGCCTTTTCCTTTGTGCTTGCCCTTGTGGCAGCACTTGGCCAAATTCTCCACTTGGCCTGGAATTTGGGCCAGCCTCGTGTTCAGGTTTTCTATCCCACTTTTAAACACCAGCATCAGCTGGGATGGTTTCAGCAGGGTTGAACTTCAGTGCCAACAGCCGTTTGTAGGTTTGTCCAGCGAGGGGCAGCTCCTGGCTCAGGTGTGCAGTGACTCTTGAGAAGTTTGTCTAACCCTGCTGCAGGTTCCTCACGTCCTCGTGTTCTTTACCCCGCAGTTCTTTCTGTGTTTGCTCTGGGGGGCTCTGGCTGTGCCCTGGTGCAGCTGAGCTGCTGCTGGGGGGCCCTTGGTGGGGGTGTGGGACAGCTGGGTGTCCCCAGGTGCTGAGGCTGTCCCTGTGTCCCTGCAGGCGAGGCAGCCCCTTGCTGATCGGCGTGCGCAGCGAGCACAAGCTCTCCACCGACCACATCCCCATCCTGTACCGCACAGGTGAGTGTGAGAGCTCCCCTGGGGCTGCAGGGCACGCAGCTGTGTGCTCTGAAACACAGCTGGAAATCACAAATCAAGCCATTGTTAGAGGGGTTTTTTTAAAAAGCAAGTTTTTAACCATGTGTTCTGCCCACCTTGCACCTCAAGTTGGCCTCTAGTGTTGTTATCTAAACTTTAATGTCCAGTTATTGCAAGGAAAATACATCTTAGTATAGCCATGGAATGGCTTGGGTTGGAAGGGACCTTAAACCCCATCTTGTTCCAACCCCCCTGCTGTGGGCAGGGTCACCTTCCAGTGTCCCAGGGTGCTCCAAGCCCCATCCAGCCCTTCCAGCTCCATCCAGCCCCTTCCAGCCCCTTCCAGCCCCTTCCAGCCCCTTCCAGCCCCTTCCAGCCCCTTCCAGCCCCTTCCAGCCCCATCCAGCCCCTTCCAGCCCCATCCAGCCCCTTCCAGCTCCATCCAGCCCCTTCCAGCCCCATCCAGCCCCTTCCAGCTCCATCCAGCCCCTTCCAGCCCCTTCCAGCTCCATCCAGCCCAGCCTTGGACACTGCCATGGGTGTTGGAATAGCTCAGTATAATAAATTCAGCAGGACAGTTAAACTGAGGTCTCTGTTCTGCGTGTGGCACGTTGGCATTTGTGAGCCTGGTGGTTTTTCAAGAAGAAAGATGAGAGAGCTCTGCAGGCTGGAGCCTGGCACTGTCACAGACCTTGCCCCTGCCACCCCACGTCATTTGTAGAAGCTGTTACCCTTCGTGGGACAGTGGCTGTTCATGTTGTCTGTCCATCCTGCTCTCACACGTGTTCTGCCACCACAGACACCCTTGAAAATGAAAACTGGCTAAGAATTAATTACTCTGTAATTCCCTGTGGTCAGAGGGGTCTGAGCCTGTTCAGTCCCAGGGACCTGGACTTGTCTTCTGAGCAGTGCAGGGACCCAAGGAATTGCTGTCCTGCCCTGCTGCTTCCTAACAGTAGCTGCTGATCCCCTGCTGCAAGAACCAGTCCCAGAAGCTTTGCCTTTTGATTGGATGATTAGCAGAAATATTAGTGTGTTTATGCAGCACTGTATTATTTTACTGATTATCTCAAGTCTGGTTTGTTTTTTTTCCAATTGCACTTTCAGCCGTACAATCTATGGATCATTCTTTTGATGGAATATCCATAAAAATGGAGGAAGGTGCCTACCAGAGAAAAGCTAACACTTGAAATTTCAGACAAATCATCCAGTTCCTTAGGAGAGGAATCATAAATGGGGCCAAGATGCATTGTCTTTTTAATATGTGGTCATTGCTTTCCGTGTAGTGAAACACTTGGGAGAATCCAAATTCCTTCTTGATCAGAAACACCAGCAGCAACACACAGGAAAATCCACCCATCCCATTTCAAATACTGAGACCTAATGCTCAGCATATGTGCACAAACTGATGACAGTGCAGCTTGTACTGAGCGCTCCTGCAGCTCTGGCTACAGAAACCGTGAATTACTGTAAAAATAAAGCCCACTAAAGCAGGAGGCTGCTGCTTTAGTCCATTAATCCTAATGCCAGCACTGCCCAAAATTCCTTCTGGAGTTTGTGCTGTCAGAGCTGTGTCCTCCCCTGGGCACGGTGTGAGTCTGAGCTGCAGCCTCTGCTGGCAGCAGCGAGGTTGGCCCGAGGCTGGGACTTCCTTCCTTCCCCTGTTCATTTATCAGGGGGAACCATCTGTTACTCACTTGCAGGGCTTTAAAGGCCAGGCCATCACAGGATGGGGTGAACCAGGCTCACTTCTGAAGCAGGAGAACCTTTTGTGTCGGGGGAGGATCTGGTTGTTGGTGACTGGAAATAAATGGGATTCCTCCCTCAGTGGCCTCGGGCACTCCCTGGGTGAAATATCTGATTATATCTTGAAATACCTTGCTGGAGGAGAAGCAAACCTGGGTTTGCTGGGAGGTGAACGGTGTTCTCCCCCAGGAGCTGGTTTACCTGGCTCCAAACATCAGGAGAGATTTTGTTTCCTCTTTCCCCAGTGTACCTCTCTCTGGATAAAGTGTTTGAAATAAAACTCCATAGCCAGGAAAAGCCCAGGGGCTCTCAGGTCCCTCAGCTCTCAGAGGCACTGAGGATTTTCTGAGAAATTGCCTCAGCTGCCCATTTTTACTGTACCTGGGTAAATCCTCCATTCTTTGGTGCAAAAGGGAAGAGATGAAAAGATTCCTTCTGTGTTGCTTCTAAATTGTAGTAAATGAGGTGTTGGTGCAGTAGAGCAGCAGTCAGATTATTTACAGATAAATGGACAACCCTTGGACAAATCCACAGATAAAATAAAAACCATAACTGGCTGATAATGCTCACTGGAAATACCCAACCCTTGGTAATTGGCAGTGCAAATGTGCACAGTGACCACCCTCCAGTGCAGAATCTGTCGTGCAGGAAAGCAATGCAACATCATAAAGCCAATGCAGGGAAACGCTCTATTTTGAGAAACCAAATTTGCATGTTCTGATCAGGGCTGGGTGCTTCTGTGGGGGAGTGGCCACTAACAGCTCTGCTCTGTCCTTCCTCAACACCAAATCAGTCTGTCCTGTAGCAACAACAAAGGCATTGCTTTTCCTCACTTGCTGACTTGAGAACTGGACTGGAAAGCTCTGAATCACAGGCTGGGTGATTCTTTTTCACCGAGTACCAACGTGAAAGCAGTATTTTTCCTTTACATTTTCATCTGCAGAAGTGTAAATCAGAACACCACGAGCTCTGCTTGCATCACTGAATCAGATCAGTGTCTAGTAGGTGAAACAACATCAGGATTATGGAATAAATATAGACTGGAGTAACTTGAGTGTTGCTGTTCTTCAGCAATAGTCCCATTTTGGGAGATAAGCTGATTAATCCACCCCCACCCTCCCCATAGCCTGCACAATGACTGGCAAATAACTTTGCTCGAGGCTGGTGCTGAGCAGTAGGTGTTGGGTGCCTCATCTGCATCCCTGATGAGCTTCACCACTGAGAAGCAGTTTGGAGGAGGAGGAGGAGGATGAGACAGAATTGGGAATTACCAGAGTACTCCAGAAAGGCTCCTTGGTGAAATACTCAGCTTCTAGGACAGAGTTTTCCAAAGCTGACTCTCAGTCCTGTGGCCTCCAGCAGCCCTGGATGCTTCCCTGGCAGCAGCACAGGTCTGATTTTCTGATCAGGGTGAGGTGGTTGTGTTTGGTAGTGCAGGAACAAAGCCAAGCTCTTAATCCCAGATTTCCTGAGCTGTGTCTGAGCAGTGAGCTCAGCCAGCCAGAAATAGGTTTGGGTTCCACCTGTGGTGCTCAGGAGAGCAGGGTGGGCACGCTGGTGGCAGCTCTGAAGGAACTTCCCCAGAGCTGAGAGCAACAGACAAAGAAAGAGCAATGCTTCTCCATTTCTGGGGGCTCAGGAGACTCTCCTAAAGGGATCAACAGGGCAGGGTTAATGGGGAAATGTGGCTGCTCATAAGGCACCTTCAGTTCTCTGCAAGGGGAGCCACACAAAATTATGATTTGGATTTTTTTTTCCCCTGATCCTTTCCTCTAAACTTTGAACTGCACTAATAATTCACTTGCAGACTTACTAAAGAGTAATAAAACTCTTGCAACACAAGTTCCTTTTGCTGTGCCCACCTGCAGGCATGAAAATAGTGCTTCATGTTGGTACTGTGCCTTGGGGCCTGCTGCTGGGTGTCACCTGTGCCCAGGTGTGGCACCTGTGCCCAGGTGTGGCACCAGGCAGCCCCTGACCCTCCTGTCTCCTAGGGAAAGACAAGAAGGGAAGCTGCAACCTGTCCCGAGTGGACAGCACCACCTGCCTCTTCCCCGTGGAGGAGAAAGCTGTGGAATATTACTTTGCCTCTGATGCCAGGTAGGGTTTTCCAGGATGCAGAAATATCCTGTTTAAAGCTCTCTGGAACAAGAGGTGGGGGGAGGCTGTGGTTGCTTTGTGAGTAAAGTAAATTATGTGCACGTGGCCATTGCTTTATAAACACTGACCAAAGCAGAGTTGTTGTTAAAGTAATGAACACTGGCTTTGGAATAGAGTGTTAATAGGAAACCTGAGAGGGTACTGACCTAAATCAGCAGGACAGATGCTAATTGTGAGGAGAACTGTGTTGATTCTCCAGTGATCTCTGCACACACGCAGTTCCTTCATCATCAGAGGTGACATGCTGTAATCCCAGAGGGGTGAGGACAGGCCAGCTTGGCAGCAGCCTTAGCAGAGTTTTTGGAACTCTCTGGTTTGAGAGAAATGAGTGTTTGCTCCAGTAAAAATACTGCTGTGGCTGACTTGTGCAGCTCTTTCCATCAGAGGAGACTCTCAGCACAGCCTGATGTGTTGTTCTGCTTTTGGAGCTTTTCACTGACACTCGAGGGAGTGCTGCTGAGCAGATCTTGGGTGCCTTAACAGGGGACAGAGCTGTTTTTACAGCTGGATTTACAGCTGGGCAAAGTGAGGGACAGGGGAGAAGCAAGGGAGGAACCTTTCTCTGTGTCTGAGCAGCCTGTGTGCCGGGGCAAAGCCCCGACCTCGTGGCTCCAGGCAGATCCCACTGCTGCACACGCTGAGCAATTCAGAGCTTCTCCTTAAAGCAGGCCCTGAAATTAATGGTGAGCCAGGTGGAAAAAACCCAGTTCCGTTGGCAGGGTGGAAACGCCACGGGTCCGGCCGGATTTTAAAGGACGAGGCAATTCCTCGGCTGCAGGTGGGCTGAGAGGAAGGGCTGCAGCTCCCCAGAGCAGGGTGTGATGTCCCCTGTGTCCCCACAGCGCTGTCATCGAGCACACCAACCGTGTCATTTTCCTGGAGGATGATGACGTGGCGGCCGTGGTGGACGGGCGTCTGTCCATCCACCGCGTCAAGCGCACGGCCGGCGACCACCCGGGCCGGGCTGTGCAGACCCTGCAGATGGAGCTGCAGCAGATCATGAAGGGTGAGAGCTCCTGGGGGCACCTGGGG